GCACTGTGCGACCTCCGAGTGCGCTCCGAGTGGACACTTGCAGTATTTCTGGGAGTGACAGTCGCCTGAGAATTCAAACTCATCAATAGTCTGTTAAACGTGACACTTTGTACCCTGTGTGTTCCTCTGTCCCTGTGGGTTCGACCTTTCTACCACTATATTGCAGTTTTAGCCTTTAGTGGGTTATTACATTGTCAGAGGAGCTCGTGCGACAGACGCGGTTGTTAGAGCAGTGTCAGCTCGCACAACAGGCGGATGAGGATGTAATCCGCAGGCTACAGTCAGAGTGTGGCGAATTGAGAGCGCAACGTGCTGAGGCCGAATCGCAATTAGTGGTAATTGAAGAGGATCGCAGGCGGGAGGCAGATCGCACAAAGGTGGAGACGGCGAGGCGTGTCGCCCACTGTCTCAAGGGCTACGCCCACTGGGAAGTGGCGGCGCAGGAGAAACTCACACTGCGTGAGTTTGAACTTCGCGCAGCCGGGTTGTTGTCAGGCGACAGTAGGAGTTGGCGGAAGGTAGCAAAGAAGCTCGACGCTTTTCTGTCGAAGGCGCGGGATACCATGTCCGCCCTCGAAGTGGAGGTGTCTGCGGCGTTGCAGCGATTGGGACTGCGCAGTCGAGCGGAAGACTGGCAGGGTAGGGAGTTAGTGCGCGGCAGTCCGTCGCGCAGGAGACGTAGCACAGGTTCCGCGGAGTGTAGTGTAGCGTGGTTCCATGCAGGCGTGTAGCGTAGTGCAGTGTAGTTCTAGTTAGGACTTAGAAGGTATAAAATAGTTCCAGGCGTTTTGCCTGGGGTTCTTTCCCAATTTCGGAAGTGCAGATCAGGAACTCATTTTCTCTGCGTGTTTGTGTCCTTAGTTCTGTCACCACGCAAGAGGAGCTACCACTTGGCGTTCCGCATTTTGTAGCTGAAGGCCTTCGGCCGAATGTTCAGAGCTAGTACATTGGATAGAGACTTGAGTAGTTCGGATCTACACCTGCGGGTGATTGCCGATGCTCAGAGCCAGTGACTAGTTAGATACTTGAATAGTTTCGCCCCTATACCTTCGAGTGTTTGTTTCTGATTGTACTCCGTTGGGATTTTTCCCCTGAATGCCAAAGTGAAGTTTTGTTACTTCGTGTAAGCCTTGGTTGTAAATTCAGGTTACGCTGCAGCAGGTGCCTTTGGGGTAACCCCTGTAGTATTTCTGGGAATGACAAGTGCCGGAGAATTCAAACTCTTCAATAGACTGTTGTTGTGTTACTGGAATGTTTCTCAGTGAGTCCTTCAGTGCGGACCTGTGTTCTCTGCGCGTTTTGTGAGTTGAGAGTGTTGTTCACCGCGTATGAGTGACTTCGATCCGAAGTAGGCAGTCCAAACCGGGTTTCCTACGCTAGCAGCAAGCTAGTGGAAGCGTTGTAAAAACCGGAGTTGGAAGTCACTACCCGCAGCTTCGCTGAGTGTACTCTTGAGAGACTTCCCCCCTGAAATCTTGAGTAGAGGTCCTAACGGATCTCTGGGTTGTGTTTCTGTAGTTTCAGGTGTGTGTGTGTGTGTGTACGCTGCACTGTGCGACCTCCGAGTGCGCTCCGAGTGGACACTTGCAGTATTTCTGGGAGTGACAGTCGCCTGAGAATTCAAACTCCTCAATAGTCTGTTAAACGTGACACTTTGTACCCTGTGTGTTCCTCTGTCCCTGTGGGTTCGACCTTTCTACCACTATATTGCAGTTTTAGCCTTTAGTGGGTTATTACAACTCGTATATAGAATATGACTTTAAATATGTATATCAAAGTTTGATCTTCTAAGATTTTGAAATTAATATTAAGTCCTTGTGAAGCAAAGTCATACATGTTTAACTTGATAGTAATATCAATATTGATATTATATTTCTTTAAAAATTAAAACAACTTGTAACATTCAATAAGTAATATTAAGGTTTATCAGATTTGAATAAGGAGGTATAATTTCCCTAAAATATATGTTAATTTACCTTTTTTTTCCAAATTATTAAACATAACATCCAAAACAGAAAAAATATTCATATTTTGAGATTACTTAAGATTAATTTTTTTCAATCTCTTTATAAATGATTCGGTCAATTTTAATTCTAAAGATGCATATGGACAATATTCATCAAATTTTTCAAAATTTTGCAACAATTCTGACGTTTTAATCAATATTAGATGCAAAAAATCATTTATATTTGAATGAATTTTTTTGGAACTTATTTTATGGCTTTACAAGGATTTTTTATTTTCTAGATTCATCTAAGGGTGTAGACGTAAAGTGTTCAATTGAATTTTATACGTCATACATTATTGAAGAAATTGTTTCTCATCATACTTCATTTGTATGTTTCAACTTTGTAACTTAAAAAAATTTCTATTAAGGATTTTGATAAGATTTCATGTATTAATCATTTTTTCCAAACTTAATAATCTATTTATCAAAGTCATATCTTTCTTTCAAGAATTTTCAATTATTATTCTTGATATCATGAAATAATATTCACATTATCGATTGTATGACAAATAAAGAAGATTTTTTTTTTACCAAAACTTATCATATATCGGCGATATAATATCGCCAATCATTGTTTCGATGTGTATGTTTTATGCAAGGTCTTATTGCTACTTATGCCTTCGTGATATAAGAATACAATTTCCGAAGCAGTTTGACGATTTTTTTAAATCATAGCTTAACTTTGAGAGGTGTCAAATTCTAGCTATGTTATCTGGAAAAATTATTTTCTGCTAATCAGATGATACTTGAAAAACATATCTTCATGTGGAAGTGGATGTAAGAACATGCTTGATCGAGTTCAACCATGTTGATAATGATGCAGAGTAGCCACTATCATCAAAGGACCATAGATGATGATCATAGTTGTCTAATTAGGTTCATATTTGATTAAAATTGATTTTTTGAAAAGCTTCTGACACTTTTTACACAACATAAATGTGTAGCATTACGATTTCATCTTGACTCTAAGTTAATCAATACGTGGTACAAAAGAAATCATGCTTGTAAATGCAACGACATCTTCAACACATGGTTGAAAATTTTAGAAAGTGCTGTCTATTTTAATCGTGCGTGTGTGAGCATGTTTGGATGTACAAATCGTACTTTTGACGCGATGTCTCCATGCATGGGACTGACTGCTGCTAAATGGTGTGGTCCAGCTCCCTTCCAGCCACATAAGTGGATGCTCGACCTTCATAGCCAGTCTAGCATGAACTATACTTAGGTACTTAGCACGGGGGTTCTCATCCCAGATTTTAGGAAATCATACAATGAAGACGGTCTCGTTAAGATGACACGACAAAGTTCGATTCTCCTTCCAATGCTGCCTTCCAGACAACATTCGAATCTGCTGTCTGTTTAGTATAAGGTCATGACTTTGTTAATCATGCCATACAACTAGTACAACGTTGTCTCGAGCATCTGTCTTTGGCTGTAGGATAAGGCTTATGACTTGCTCCAGTTAACGTGATCCATTCAGAGCCGAATTCCATTGAATGCTTTGTGGTGTTCTTTACTTTGTAGACAGATGTAATTACCGAAGGGGACATGCACGTACAAGTAGAGAATTTTTCATTGCCAATGTGCTAAATGTTCATTGGCATTCACTTTGATACCTTGAAAATTTCTTTCCTCAGTGAGGAAGTTCGCTGATAAGTTTCGTCAACGAACTCAAAGCTCAGAGCAGAGTAATCCTTCCTTCTAGCGAAACATTTCAGTCGTCTATACTGGAAGCTTGCTCCGAGCTCCCTGAGAATCTTAAGTGCATGAAGAAGTAAACGTTTCGAGGTGCATTTCAGCAGAATATCACCATCCTCACTTACCACTCTGCACCACAACTTGAACCCACGATTAGGAGCGGAATACAAATACCAGCATCTCGTAACTGGCACACCAGGAAGTAAGTGCAACAGGTCCTATCAGCTGCCTCGAGCCAGTGAAATTGTGAACATCGAGCTCGGAAATCTGTGACGACGTCTCAAGCCGAAGATAAGGAGAAAAGAGACTTATACTTCAGGCCACTCAACATTACGTTGTTACTTCTACTCGTCAAGGCGAGTTAAGTTTGCTGGAACCTCGTGGCCCAGAATGCGAGAAATGCGAGGAGTGGTAACCCTCCACTTCCAGGACTGAAAATCGTTCATGCGGTGTTCCGTGATTTTAGAAGGGCATACAAACCGTTTGCGTTGTCATGGGGTTGCACTTGATCTCCCGCCACAAAGTCGCCTCTATCCGCATGCTTGAGCTTGAACCTTGACGAGGATGTCAGCTGTCAAGAGGGCAGAGACATTCTATAAAAAGGCCCACTGTGCAACTCGTTTATGTTCCAGCTCTGTCTGCACTTATGAGAAATTTATGAGAGCAAACTCGCAGTCGCAATCAAGGACACACGCATTTGTCCACATTTCATGACTCTGATTCTGTCTGCAGCTGTAGCTTCATCTTGCATGCTACAAACTGAATTACCTTCACATCCCCAAAGGTAATTATAAACTTGAGCGAGCTCGAAGGGGAGAATCTTTGTGTGGGGACCAGACGCTATAAGGAGATGGTGATTAGTAACTGACTAAAAACTGGGTCTCGTCAGGCTGCCAGATTTGGTATCTCACTGTCTCCAAACTATTTTCGAAGAAATGCGTTTCGAAGTTGCAGTAACGAGACACCGGAGAACTCTTGAGTGAGTCCAAAACTGTTTAAGCTTTGCTTGAAATTTTGGCCGCGCGAGCGAGACTGATCACTGGTCACCTTGTACTTACAGCTCGACGCTTGTCAGAGAAATCTCGAGTTCGTGCACCTGATCTATGGGCATGAGATCTGGCCCAGGCAGATAGCGTGATCCAGTGACAAGGGCATGCAGACGACAGAGAGTGTTGTGCGAGTATAATAGAGCACGGGGCACATCTGTCTCTCCACACATCGACTTGCAGCGAGCCTGGAGAGTGGGTGGGGGGTGGGGTTTCTGCGAGTCTCGTCCGAATCACCGGCCACCGAAATGGCCTCGAGGACGATGGGTTGCGTGCAGCTTTTTGTTCTGATCTTTCTGGCATCGGCCGTGTTGAGTGCAGCGTTCCCGAAGGAGAAGAAGGAGAAGCCAGGACTTCCCAAGTACGAGGCTCCGGAGCACAAGAAACCAGCTTTCGAAAAGCCGAGGCACGAACACCCGAAAGCTGAAACTCCCAAGTACGAAGTTCCGAAATTCGATTTGCCCAAGCACGAGAAGGAGAAGGTGAAGAAGCCCGTGTTCGGGTTCCCGAAATTCGACTTGAAGAAGCCGAAGCACGAGAAGCCGGGATACAAAAAGCGAAAACCGGAGCACCCGAAATTCGAGCTTCCCAAACACGAAGCGCCCGAGTACAAGAAGCCAGAGTACAAGAAGCCGAAGTTCGAGGTTCCGAAGCACGAGAAGCCGAAATTCGTCGTGCCGAAATTCGAGAAGCCGAAGTACAAGAAACCCGAGTTCGATCTACCCAAGTTCGAAGTCCCGAAATTTGAGCTGCCGAAGCACGAGAAGCCAGGCCACAAGAAATGGAAAGCCGACCACCCCAAGTTCGACTTCCCCAAAGTGGATGTGCCCAAATACGAGCACCCGAAATTTGACCTTCCCAAACCCGAGGTCCCCAAATACGAGCACCCCGGCTACGACAAGCCCAAGCACTAGAGAGCCACACAACAACATGACAGCTGCTACTTCAAGAGGTTATGACTTTCCCGAGCGCTTGGAGGTCTCAGCATGCAATTAGCACTTACCGTCAAATCTGTGTCCGGCAGCAGTCATTTTGATGGTGTACTTCGTCACTGCAGGTTGACGCCTTTGAAGAAGGTGGGGACGAAGGACACCAAAGTCCCAGTACTGTAGTGAAAGCTTCACATTTAGACTCGACTACTGTATTTTAGTGGAAGCCTCGTTCGGAGTTGAACGTCGTCCTTCATCAGATCAGACGGTAGCAGATGTCTGTAGTTCGGAGCATCTCAAAGTATATAAATTTTTCCTCTCGGTCCATGTACTCTACATTTAATCCATTTTCTTAAATACGGTGTCATTTATTAGCCACTGCCGTGATATGCAGCCTCGTCTCTTGTTGTGGGTGGTGACTTTGCCAAGTTTTTCCCGTCTTCCATGCGTCGGAGCTTTCCTTTCTGTGTAACAAATATGTAAGTGATTTTCTAATCTACCGACGCGAAATTTGCACAAGGTGCAGCAAGACGTGCATATCCCACTGACAGTATATGTCTCTATGATGTCATTCTACTAAAATGATGAAGATAATAAAACACTGTGAAAAAGATTACTGTAAAAGTCTTCTCCATCGATAAAAATAAAATAAAAAATAAATAAAGAATATATAAAAATATATCACAGTGAATGAAAAAGAAAATATTGAAAGAAAAAGACACTGTAAAACTTATTGTATGAATATGAACATTAAATACTTTGGAAAAATTATACAATTGAACATGTACACTTGCAATAATATATGTTACACTGTTTATTATAAAATTTGTCTATTCCAAAAAAGCCAATTGCTACTTTGACATTTATATAATGGAAATGTAAACTCTCCTACTTTACCCCCTCAGCCTCTACACTAAATCGAATCCGCCTTCTAAATAAATATGGGAAAAAATTGAAGATACTACTGCCAATAGCCTCCATACGAAGTCTGACCAAACACGACATTTTCAGGCTTAAACACCTCTCGTTTATATTTTGGTGGAAATATTATGGCATTCATGATATTATTGTGGTCGAAGTCATACATCAGCTTGGTCACGTCAGTATGTACATGTTAATATATAGGTGAAAAATATAGCGCTGAGTGGTGGTGAAGAGTGTAGTAAGACTGGTGATGGACCCTCGAGTAGGCCAGTGACGAGTATGTATGTATATGGTGGCATGCAAATATTATTCATGCCACCAGCATGAGCAGGATTCCAACCACAATTTATCCAGAGCTGTATGCACTCCTGCGTGACTTCGGGCCCGGATGGTGACGATGGGGCTAGCGCAATCCATGATTGACCTAGAGCTCATTTGGAATATTTGTGTATAAGCTCAATCTTTTCGTATAAGGTGTAAGATCAGTATAAGATCACTCTCAGTCTGAGCGTGAGCTTATTCTCTACCATTCTCAGATTTCGAGGATCCTCCCCGGTGTCTGGCGGCAGCCCACAGCTGTATTTTGACGAAAAAATGTCAACTGGGGATAAGACAGAGACACGCGAATAACTTGCTTCCGTGCTGTTCTCGATTTTTTCCTCATCCACAGGCGATTTGAGTGACAGGTCAACTGTTCTGACGCCATTGTCAGGTGTTTGAAAAACCGATGTTCGAATATCATGGTCTGACGAGTTCGTCTACGAATAAATCAATGAGTTTATTTCAAGTCCACGAAAAGCGGGAAGGGTGATGGGACACAAGAGCAATTTCAGCAAAACCCCAGAGATTCATCTACTTGAACACGAAGATCACGACCAGATGTACGAACCAAGAGGTAGTAATTTTGTTTCAAACTTTCAACAAACCAGGGTTACTCTACTTCATTATTCAATGGGAAGAACTTACTGCCCCTCAACAGTTAACCTGTGGTCGAGCCCGATCGCAATGTATCACCTCACAAAGCATCACCTCACATGTAATGCGCACAGTCATACCAGCTGATCGTCGATCATGCTTCAAATCTGACCAGAACATTTGAAAGTTGAGACTCTTAATAGACTGATGATGAATCATTTTCTAGGTTTTATTTGCAAATTAGATCTATTACAGTGTTTGTTGTTCCTTCCTGTAATATTCGTGTTTCACTTCGACGAGTTTTGTTCAATTGAAGATGATGTACAAGGAGTTGCAGTGAATGAGTTTGCAGATTTGGCCCTTGCTGCATTTACAATAACCTCAGAATGCCCTTATAGCTTATACTCCATTCCCCTTGCACTTGTTTCCATTTCTCGAAACCTAAAACTAAGGATTTATGTTTCTAACTAAATGTTAGCATGAATTTGCTTTCACAGAATGCTTGCATAGAGACTGAGAAAGGTCCACTTCTTGCAAGCAATGATGAATTTGTACTGTAAGTCCATAGTGCTTGTTAAGTAGAAAAGAGTTGGAAGAACTCAACAGGTGATGGTTTTTCATCCACATGGGTAATGTAACGTGAATGTAACTTGATTTATTGCATGGCGTTAACGCCATGCAATAAAATAAGTACTGATGAATGTCAAAATCTATAAATTATCTGAGTTGAAAGCTTCTCTAAATTATATTTAGCAGAAATGGCCTTTTTAGTGAAATAAACTTAAAAACTCATTACTGGTTAGCATTGACTGTTAACTTGGTATTGCAGCTTCTTAAAGCACATCCTTCACTATAGTATACATTCTGTTTTCCGCAGCTCTCCCATATTCCCTTTCAGAATATCATTTGGTCTATCATCATATAGACGACCAAAACTATATCCCAAATAAAATCTTGCATTTTTTACTGGTTGTATACACAGAGTCAAAATATTATCAAATGAGCGGATAAAAGAAAACACCAAAAAAAGTTGACCAAAACTTGGCTCTGGGCCTAGCCTCCAAAGTTTTTTGCAATATTGAAAACCTGGCTTCCTCTAGGAAATTTGAAGATAAAGGATAAAAATATAATGTGGATTGGTTTCTAGGCCAAATTCTACTAGAGAATTGCATAAGTTTCTCTATCTTCGGTTTTGAATAAAGTAAAATTAGAATATCTGGTAAAGGTATGATTTCTGAACATATGTATTCAGTGCATTGTGTCGACTTAAATTAGATACTGGAAGCAAATTGCAAAGTAAAAAAATGCTCCTCAGTGCGAACCTTGATATCATTCTTGTATTTGTTTCAGCTCTCCTGACCAAGTTAGCTTAATGATTCTTTACAAGAGACTGTGGAACGGTTATACCGTATCAGTCATACCTGAGGGATGTGTCACTAGCACTTAATACTACGTGCCAAAATGTGCTTTATCCTGGCAATTTTTTACATTATCTCTGTGATTGGAAGTCCCCACTTCAGAAACTCAGGTCTCTCCTGGAAATGCTACACACTCCCTTCCTTTACCTTGTAGCGTTCCCGTACTTTTGGACCTACTTGTATCCAGCCAGGTCGTAAACGTTACTAGATGGATGGGATACTTGGAAGTAAGTTGACATCAACACTATGCTTTTTACTCGATTTCAAGAAAAAACTCTTTACTCCTTGACTTTTATTTTATATAGATATACAGACACGTACGTGTGTCTTCATCAAAATTTTCGTTATTTCATGCCATACTTGAACCTCTCCTTCGTAATTCTCGAGTGTTAGTTGCGTAGTCCAAGATCAGGTCATAACAACAGCCACTTGTATGGTCATAATATTCACCCCTACCGTGGAACAAAATGTTAGGAATGTTTCTTTGTAGAAAAAATTGGCCGGCGTCTATTTCATTTCCATTTGGCGGAACTGGCTAATGAGAGCCATGTATGATGAACTCAGGTAGGGGTGGAATTAAATGCTGATGATTGTATGTACTATGAACGTAGGCAGTGGTGAATTCTGATGCAAGTGAAGGGTATGTCATATGAGTTAGCCCATGGTGGATCTAGTAATGTAATGATGAGTAATGAGGTGTATTCAGTAAGAAATTAGGAAGTGATAACATCTGAAGGCAGTGAGGTTTATGAAAACTGAACTGAGAATGTTTTGGAGTCTGGTGCTAATGAATAAAGAGAAAGAGCACAGTGAAGTACCAAGGCAAAATCCATCCTAGCTCCAGGTTTTGGCCAAACACTGGCAAAATCTGACTAAAAAATGTTTGAGGAAAGATGTATCGTTTCAGCGATGACTTTGAATTATGGAATACGTAGATTTATCACAGCTGAACAGTGCGATGTCCGGTTCTGCCCTCAAATCTCTATTTTATGAACGCCCTCACTTGGAAAAACGAAGGAATCTGAGAGATAATTTGCACACCATGCATCACCATCTGTCAGTGTAGTTGATGCACCTATATTAATGTCTTTTATATTATTGTTGGAGCTTTTCTTTGTGGTGTCTTTTATTCCATGGCCTTTTAATGTTTTCAGGCTTGCACCTCAATACAATATGCAAATTCAACAGTCTTGAATGAAAAGTCAACAATTTCTTTACTTCATAAAATATCAATAGAACTGATTGGCATAAAACTGAAGCGGCAACTGAGAGTTTCTCCTTGTTATTAAGCTCTTTTTGTTTTCTACTTAGCTCGTCCGATATCAAGTTCTTTTCAGATTATGCTCTGGTAAAATGTTTTTCAGCAGATCTGTTTCATGTTCGCAGGAGGTTATAACACGAGATAGAATGATGCATTTGAAGGTCCATTTAGACGGAAAGGCTGATTGACTGCGACTTGATTTTCGCATTATTTCTGACTCTTCAAGAAGCAGTTTATGTGGGCTGTAGGTAATGCCAAAATCATTTTCTTCCTGTTGTTCCAAGCATCGACCGCTCTAAAATTTTAACTTTCCTGAAAATTTATGCCAAATGATGCTCAATTCATTCAACATGACGTTAACAACTTATGAAAAAATAGTTTCAGAAGGACATCTTTATAGATCGTAATTGTAGTCTTTATCTCCTACTACAGCCATATAACTAGGCGCTGGTTTGACTCACTTGACTATTGGAAGATTTGGGGCAACTTTTCCAACAGTGAAGATTGAGCAATCAAGATGTTATTACCATGTCTCAGTGTCCAAGAATACCAGCTAGGTGTGAATAGCTGAAGGTCAGACGATTGCACTTTGAAACTGCGCATGAAGACGAGAAGACAGGCAAGCAGATCCCCTAGACCTGAGTTTGATCGAAAACTTCTGGTGTGTAAGGTGGATTCTTCCTGGCTGTACGCAATCGTCACAAACAATTTTGGTCATCAACTTCATCATCGAGAGTAAACCAACCAGATACCCCGAATGTAATCAGTGACACTTATGAACTACCGGACTGCAAACTTCTCCTCAGGTAGTCCAGATCAGAGTGTTGAAGATAAGACGATGCATGAGACTGGAGTCACAAGTTCCGAGTAGAGAGAGAAATGAAGGTGCACACCTAATTAAGAGGAACAGATGAATATTACGATATTCTGATAACGAACGATTTTTGGTTCTCTTTGCCTGAAGCAGAATCTCAGAGACGCAAAACGATGGGATTCACTTACCCTTTGCTCCAGGGCTTGAAAATTAAATACGTCAGAAGGGGCAATTGAGGCCTCTTTCATTTTCAGCGCAGTTCATGAACAGCGAGTCCCATTTAGGAAACGTCACGTTTCCAGATTTTTCCCAGATCCTCTGACAGATGCAAATGTCTTGAACATCGTACATAGCGCCTAATGCATAGCAGCATTTAGCAGATCCTACACCTGTATTGACTTCAGATTCGTTACACTTCGCCAGCATCTCGTCAATGTATTCATCCGGAGTGTCACACTGTGGTGGATAATCCTCCTGATCTTGTGCATGTGCATACAGCACGGAAAAAACTGCTACTGCAACTATCAGATTGAACCCAAGGCTAGAGTACGAGAATCTGGCCATCTTCGACTGATTGGAAAGGTAATGTCTGCAAACTTGAGAGGTGAGGAGATGCTGAGAAATATGATTCCTGTGCGAATTTATAGTTTGAGGGGAAAAGATTTTTGTCTGCAGTGGCAGGAGAGTCCAGATAATTTCGTGTGAGAATATGCGTTCTGCCTTGGGCGACAGTCCATGTCAGAATCCTCCACGTTTGTGACAAGTTTGATTCACGTGGAAGGGCAGGAACGCTTCTAGCCCTGAGAGAGTAGCAGGCGATTATGTATCGTTGACTTCTACCCTTCTTGAACTCACACAGGTTTCTACAGTGTTGTTTCGAGTCTCGAGTTGTCTATTTGTGATATTTGATGATCTGAGTCAAAGCTCAAGAAATAAGAGCATGTTTAAAGCACTGAGAATTTCCGTATAATGACAATTGTATACAATTTACAATGACAATTTTTGGTGTAGAAACCAATCCACATTATATTTTTATCCTTTATCTTCAAATTTCCTAGAGGAAGCCAGGTTTTCATTCCACACTCGTGGAATGTGCCACAATTTGAAGCTAAGGACCGGAAAGGAAGACACCTTCGTGTTAGGGTCATTAAGTTTTTTGAAAGTCTAACCTTACTGCTTGAAGCAAGACAACATCCGTTCTCCAGATCGCTAAACAGATCAACTGTCTGCGTACGGAAATTGACCTCAAAATTCATTTCGTCTCAGCCTACAAGAATCATTCCTTTGGGGAATAATTCTTCTAATTTTAGTCCAGTTTGGTGCTAAATCAGTTGAAACACTAATATAAACCATATTAATAGCTGATCTTACTCTCACCATATTACTTAGCTGAAGTCTCAACTAGAAGACTTTTGAAAGTACGTGCTGGTACTGTAGTAAAGCAATCGCACGCTCGATATGGACGTGTAAGCTGCTAAACCTCTCAAGAGTAGGCGTAGAAAAATCTAGTTACTCTAGCATGCAAAGGTGACCGATTTGCCACTTTAAGTTGGATCTGATCATTCAGGTCACGATCTGCAAGGTTTCCAAGTGAGACAGCACGTTGCACGCCAGAGTCAGTACGGTAATTATCCAGCACCATAAGCAATATGTAATGTGGCAAACAGAGTTAGCAATACCTTTGTTCACCAGTTTGGATTTCCTCATATTCTTCAGACATAACGGTGAAGGCCGTGAGCGACCGATCCAAATCTTTACTTGGTAGCTTGCTGATATGAATCAGATGTGCAGCTTGTGGAAACTGTCACTTCAGAATTATTTGGTTTCTTGTACCTGCTTGTATTCCGAGATATGCTTCTGAAGAGACCCGCCACCTTATGATCTGAGTGATATCCACTATTTATAAATCATAGGCCACGTTACCCACTGACAATCTAAATATACCAGTTTTCAAGTGGGGTGATTCGCTTTCATTCTCTTGAGATTCTCTTCAGGATCTGATCTCCCTGCTTTTGTCAAGCTCAGGAATTATGAGCCTCAGACTTCTGAAATCACCATACCGAAGTCAACTTTGGGTAAGAACATAAATGAAGAGATGATTCTGAACAGTTACGCAGCCATGTAATGATTCCGATATCAAGAGTACAAAAATAAATTAAGGTTGTATTCCGGAACAAAACGTGCTAATTGTACCAGTGAAAGAAAGTGTGCAAACTGACCTTGTAGTAATATCGAGACCACTACGTGCGGTGTTCTACAGAAATTCCATATGTGTCTTTCTGGTCGATGATACTGATGGCGAAACGAGGGGCTCAGCTGACGATGGTTTCAGAAATATGCTATTTCAGTACTTGCTACCAACATACCATGAGCCAGACATGACAAGAAGTCTCGAGACAGACCTCGTGCACATTACCCACAAACTATTCATCTCCCTGCTAGATATTCAGCTCGTCCTCAATTAACATCTGCATGAAAACATGGACGTTGACCCGTGACAACAAGACACTGATGCAGCCGCCGACTGAGTACACAATGAGTGCTGCCGCCTTTCCCAGAGAAAGCTGCATTGCCAGACTTCATCAAACTTGGCATGCATTTCCGGTCATGGTTCAGTCAAACGTGAATATTTGTCACAGACGGAGACAAATGGTTACGACTAGTCAGATTTACGACAGGTTGGCCTGCGCAGCCCTGCCAAGAGGCGACACAAGATCAGGCAGATTTGTCATTCTATTCGAGACGATTGCTATATATCCGGTATAACAAGTCAGGGGTACGGCGAGTTAACCACAAACAAATTGACTTGCAGATCGATGGGACAGTCGCGCATTCTGATCTCAGTTTATAGAGAGAATAGATCACAGCAGCAGTCTTCATCCATCTCGAGTTAGAAACGAGTCTCACAAGTTTGTCTATCACTTGAAGAGTTGGGACGCAGATTGGCATACAGAGTCCAAAACATCCTCTCTTCTGCTGCACAAATTAAAAAATCCGTCAGAGCTCACGGAAAATTTAGATGCCAAGGCAGACCTATGAGATGCACACAACGCGTCTCTTCTCTCCTCTCACAGCTTCCTCGAGAGAGCCATTCTTCGACTGCACGTCCGATCTTTAACCCTTAATCTCGACATGCCTTTCCATTTTATGTATCCACGGCCTCCTGGCACTTAATCGCCTGCAATTCGATCTTCCGTGCCATTTCCGCTGATCATGAGACTCAGCGCTCATATCGTGAAGAGTGCTTGAGAATGCTATTGAAAAGGTCCAGGTTTCATTACAACTGAGCGTCGTTTGCTTACAGGTCAAAGGCATCAGCAGCCCAAGTCGAGGCCGGCCATGCTCGGCAAAAGAACTGGAAATGAAAAAAAATTGCGTTCCGATTATTTCCGATCGCGATGGGATCGGACTGCGTTGCGGATGGAGACCAGATCCCCCAGGCTCGGGTGGATCCCAAGGACTATGGATTCTTTCTTCATTGACAGCGATGGCCACTGGCGTCGCACATGTGCAGTATTACTTGTTACACGTTCATGTGAAACAGATAGAGATCTAGCGGAAGTAGCGAAGAGTCGGAGACTAATATTTTTTTACAGCTTCAGGGCCAAGCTTCAGTTCAAGCCTCGAGTTTCATGTTCCAACCTCTCAACTCTCTGCCCCGGCATCAACGAAATATTCTGCTCGGGTGAGTGCTCTGCTCTGTTCCATCCCCCACCGAAACTGAGCCAAAACAGCACGGACTCCATGCCTAGTTCTATTTCAAGGTGCTTCAGATTGTTGGTCTGTGTTCATCAAGCGGAATCGAATTGTTAAGACTTGAATGTATCTTTCGACGAGTACCTGTTTCTATTTGTGAGCATTGGAAACGGATTAGGCGCATTATCTGCGAACGGATCGTGCTCTGGTGATGGGGATTTTCCGTCGACATTAATCGAAGATGGATCGGAGGTAACCCGGAGTTCTATCCCCCCCCCCCCCGGAAGTCCTCTCCCTTACGTTTCGCGTGCACAGCGAGAAGGATGCGAAGAGCCCATCAACCCGTGCAAGGCCTGAACGAAACGGGTGGCAGGGCCTAGCCGCTCCACCTACTCTGTAGGTCTATCTCTCCCTCGCCTCCGTATAATTCGTTCCAGGCTCTCTTCTGTCCCTTTGTCTCGTTGCTAGTTGACTTTACCGCTACGACTTTGACCCACATTGCCCCGTTGCATCTTCAACGCACTAAAGGCCAGAGATACTTGAATTTGTGATAAGATTCATTTGCACTTTACAGACTTCATATTTCTTTGCTAGAGTGAGAATTCTATTCCTGAAAGTTGTCACTCCAGACGTTTAGGAATGAAAGATCGTTATAGTGAAGATCATATCATTTCGAGGTTTAAATAAATATATTTCATTCATGTTAAGGTAAAATTATTATTTTGTCTTTTTATCAAAATGATTCAAATTATTAACAATATATTACTAATATTCCTATTTCTAAATTGATTGTTTAATCTCTTAGTGAAATAAAATTTCAACTAAATTTTAGTAGATTAAAAATTAATTCTGTCTTAACAGAATTTATAAGCTTGACAACTAATCTCAAATAAAACATTATATGAATTTGAGTGATAAGATCAGTGAAATAATGAAGATGTCACCAATCATATGACGATTGTTAAATCAGATATCAACGAGCATGAAATAGCCAACAGTTAGGTCAGATTTGTAGTTATCATCACTTGCACTTCCATTTGAATTACGTCATGTTAGAGAAAAATTAGTCCTAAAAATAAGATGTGAATAATGATAAGTATTATATAGTTTATAAACATTTATGAAATATGAATTATAAACAAAAATTATTATTTTTACATGATATATAGATATTCAAAGTTTTTTCATGTTTTGATGTTTTCCATCCTATTTCAAAGATTTATATATGAAAAATTGATTGGTATTGATGAACGTATCATGATGCCAAATATTTTATTCATTAATTTGGAATGAAGAACAGTTTTATTTGAAGTTTTGTTACAAAGATACGAAGCAAAAGTTAAATCATGATAAGTACAAAATTCGTTGGTTAAATGCTGTGAATGAAATGAGTCGAGATTTGATTCAAAATGAGCATCATAAAATGATTTGACTCTTGAAATGAGTCAGGATTATTTTTGATAAACTCTGAAATTAATTGAAAATTATAATGTAGGTATATAACATAACAAAATAAAGATTAGAAATAACAGAATTATAGCAACCAATTTATGCATATATGCTACTTTGATTTATCATATGTTTGTGACTTCATTAAAGATTAACTAAAGCTACAAACAAATTAACAATTGAAATTATGATTTTGGGGCCAAGTTTTGGGTTAAGTGATCTTATTAGGGATTCAAGAAGCTATAAGGTGTTTAGAATTGAACTATATCGATTATCCATATTTATCAATGTATTTCTGCATCAAAATATAACTAAGTTTTTTCTTAAAATGAAAATATATATTTACATGGATTTTGGATTTTGAATATTATTTTTGCTTTCAGAGAGGAAAAGATTGATTAGAAATAAAATATATTTTTTAGTCATTGAAGGTACTTTAATATTTTATAATTTATGCTTGAAATTACTTTGAGCTTAAAACATAAATTTTAATGCTTTCCGTATGTATATTTTTATTTCCTTATTAGGATAATAATTTAACATTGTAAGAAATCTAAACTAAAGCATGACAATTATACCTATTGACATAAATGAAAATGAAATAAGTTTAGGATTGATAAACTATCTTAAGATAACTTAAGAAAATAATCTTGCAGAGAAAATTTTGTTAGTTTAAAACTTCACAATGAACTAAAAATATATTTCATGAGATTAAAAAAAAATTTGTACATCAATATGATTCCTCAAAAAATGTCAAGTTGATTCAATTTCTATATTGAACGGTCATACTGAATCTTAAAAATTTGACACATTAATACTTTTACCAGGAAATTTGAATGAGATTTTTTCACTTTGAAATAAACTTATATAAATTGAATACTCTCCAAATTCTTATGAAGGTTCGATATTTCTGTCAAATTTCAAAAACTTATATATTTTACGTATTTGTATCAATTATTTAGCATATTTCTATCACATGACACAAATATGACGACATTATTTTGTTTCAAAGTAAAACACCAGTTTGTCAGCATGAACTGTTACGATGCAAGCCATTCATAATAGACATTTCGGAAAGATTTTTGTGTCTGAGGAAATTAAGTTTTGTCTTAGCGCATGAAATAGGAGAATAAGCTACTTACCTCGATTGTGTCCCTACCAGCATTTATTGATGCACATAAATAAGCTTCGAAAGTTTACAAACTGTACTGGTACTACGCAGTAGTAGAGTTCGTGGCAAGCTCACCAGAATGTGTAATGTATGATGAAGGTATGTACAAGCTTGCAATATCTCTTGACCACATCCGCCAATGTTCAACAGTGTGGAAGTGCTCATCGACGCAAATAATTTATTCGTCCATATGATCACCGATTCTCATGGTTTTGCTTACCTCGCCTTACACGTCACGATGACTGAAGCTTTGCCCTCACTACTAGATACGAATATATATATATACTCTCGTCACGACAAAGTCAATCCAAGATCTTGAAGCTATGTGGTACTTCTATTCGCAGCCACACTTCACAAGGCAGGGTGTCCGAAGACATCGACAAACCACGTAATCAAATCTCGAAACATTTGTGTACGTCACTGTGTACGTCGGATGTGGAAACACAGGCAGCGGCAGGAGAGCGTGTTCATGCAGTACAACAATCGTAGAGTATTAAAATACATTAGACTTGCAATAATTTAACATACAATGCGCTTCCCTTCCTCTTAAACCGGCAATGGCCATGGGCACAACTCCAAACATGAACGTACCACGCTTCTGATTTTACGAGAGGTGAGGGGAAACTCCGGTCGCCTAACCCGTGCACACGATAAATCTAGAGCTGAGAGCTGCAAAAGCAGCCCTCCAACTCTAAGTCGGAGCAAGTATGGTGTGAATAACCGACCTCAATTTCGTGTCGAGAAGACGAGTCCGTATAATCGGGGGCCCTCTGAACTTTGGCCTGACGATCCTTTTTGGATCTCCAAAAAGCTCCTAAAGTAACCATTACCACACGCTACGCGAGTTGTGGGTCAATTTGTGGGTCAGCGACTGACGGGGGAGAGAGAGAGAGAGAGAGAGGGAGGAGTGCAACAGGGGAAGGCTGCAACCGAATGGTAAGTACAGGAGAGAATTTGCGGATTCGCAGCTGCGACAACGTTGTACTGCGGAATGGTACTAGAGAATGAGCGAGCGATCGACTTTTCACCGATTGTACTACACATTTGTCCTGCAAGTCTACTGGATGATCAAGTGACGAGGAGGAACACGACCTTGAGAGCTCGCGGTAGAGCTCGACAATACTTGTCTGAATTGTTTGGGAAATCGGTTCTCGCCTGGTGTGCTAGAGAAAGATCCACCTCTGGCACAACAGCCGAAAGGCCGAAATTCTCGAGAGGTAGAGCTAGACAAGATGTTGCAGGGAAGAATACTACCGCCGAGACTGGCGTCTCCAGGTTCCCTTAAATGGTCTCGTGCCTGCTGCATCATGGCAAAGCATCGATGTAAAGCAGGATTCAGGCTCGAGAACCAGGAACGATCCCAGCTCTCTAACGGCTTGAGATTTCGAGAGGATTGGATTCTGCACCGATGGCGAATTTAATTAGTGGCAAGGTTTCCTTGAGCATGCTTGTGGGAAGCCTGTTGCTCTTCTCGTTTCTGATCGATTCCGCGGTTGCTCACGGAGGAGCAGCCGATGAGGGCGTCGATGAGGCGTCGGTAAATCTCAGGGCCAAGAGTTTGATTCTCGTCAAGATTTACTGCTTGATCATAATCTTCTTTGCCACCTTCCTTCCTGGTATTTCACCCTACTTCTTCCGATGGAACTATGGATTTCTCGTTCTGGGAATCCAATTCGCTGGAGGCGTCTTCTTGGCCACTGCGATGCTTCATTTTCTCGGCGACTCCAACGACACCTTCGGGTCGCTCACGCCCAAGACTTATCCGTTCGCATTCATGCTGGCTTGTTCTGGTTACCTCATCACAGCGGTGGCAGATGTCATAATTCAGTCAATCTATCTTCGTCAGTCACAGAACAGACGCACTTCAGATGCTGAAACCGGTACGCTTTATAACGATGAAATTTAATATCTCCGTGACTTTCTGCATATGTCGAATTAGAAATTCAGAATCTCAAGTCCCGGTTTAAGCTCAGAACTGCTCCATGATGACTAGAATCCCAGATCATAGTTCAGAGTAGGGAAAGTTGTGCAGACAAAAAACTTGGTGAATTTCGGATTAAGACATTTATTGTGCTGCATGTGAACTCTGATAACTTCTAACTGAGTTCCTATCTATTTCTATTATCTGCAGGCAAGGAATCAGCGATAACAGGAGCTGTTGGCCCGGTATTTCACTCCACTCCTCTCCTTGATGCATGTTCGGATTAGAGGGCATAGTTTATAATATATTAGAGAAGTTGGGCTTTGAGAAACAAATCACACCATTTTTTTGGGCTTCAGCATAATAGCATCGATTTGTAGTCCGTCTGGACATGGAGTTGATTCCCGAAAAACTGCCGGATTTTCATTCAATTTATTTTCAAGCCACCGCGTCTCAAGGTCACCTCTCGTTTAATTCAGACGAATTTCCTTCTGGAATCCATATTGTGCGTTGACACATGTTCATATCACTAAGTATAGATATTGGGATTGTTCGGAACAAGGAAGTACGGATTCCAAACCCAGAATCGACTCTACACACGCCAATTGACTAAGCTGATCCTTCCATTCAGCTGCACCATTCTCTTATCATCTACTTACCCAGATTTATTCAGATGGATTCTGCTATCTAATTGTTACTCCATGCATCTCGGTTTGCCTAATTTCTTCTCATATTGCCCAGCTGGACCAGCCATAGCTGCAGATATTATTTACTAATCCTACAATCTGCACGCATTTTTGTTGCGCAGAATGATCATGAGGCAGGGCACATGGTCCAAGCCACCTTGATACACACCGCTTCCATGGGAGACGCCGTGTTGCTGATCCTCGCTCTTTGTTTTCACTCAGTTTTTGAGGGCATCGCCATTGGTGTGGCAGGTATGAGAAGTGAAGCATCAGAGTTGTGCCAATATGTATTGTAGGGTCGTTGATTGTATATTATTATACTCTATCACCGGAGTTCAAAACGAGAAGCTTGTATGATGCTTATATGCTGTTGTGTTCTGGTTGGTACCTTGGCCTAAACTTTTATTATTATACAAGCAAATTCATGAGATGAGAGTTGGTCGATGGGAGGTTACGTCGTTGACGTTGACACAAGGTTGAAACCAAAATTTTGCTTTCTTGCAGCAAATAAAGCTGATGCTTGGAGATCCCTCTGGACCATCTCGCTGCACAAAGTATTTGCAGCTATTGCCATGGGCATTGCCCTCTTGCGGATCCTCCCAAACAGGCCGTTTCTTTCATGTGCTGCTTATGCACTTGCTTTCGCCATCTCCAGTCCAGTCGGTATAGCCATTGGAATCATTATCGACTCTACAACTCAAGGGAGCACGGCAGACTGGATATACGCCATCTCTATGGGATTTGCAGCAGGTGTCTTCATATACGTGGCGATCAATCATCTCTTGGCCAAAGGTTTCATTCCTCCAAATAACGAGAAAGTTGCAGTGGACACGCCTGTCCTCAAACTTCTTGCCTTTGCGTTGGGACTTGGCGTTTTGTTCGTGGTCATGATCTGGGATTAATCTACCCAGGTATACACTGATTTAAAATGTCGATTGAGTTGAATTACTATCTGTGATTTACGCACATACATAATGTGCATGAGACACATTCCCTCTGCCGTGGGTCATACTGAGTACTATCGTCCTCATAATTCCAGCTTAAATAGATTGGTGAAGATCGATTTCTAGTCACATCCAATGACTGGATTCTGTATACAGTCAAGCTCGTCGAGAATTCAAGATTGGATATCAAACGTTGACAGAAGGGCTGCACTGAATTTTTTGAGAAGTAACTGGTGCAGTAGAGCCAGGTCTTCGATGTTACGAGTGTAGTTGTCAGGAAATTTGAGTCTTAGCGTGATTCGCTCCTAGTCAAGATCAAAGAAAAATCCATAGGATTTGATCCATGCAACGGAGTTCTGACTAACAATTTGGATGTTCTGCCATGGACAGGGAGAGCGAACCGTGTCCATCCGTCGTCATCACAGCGTCCTGCTCTACATATATAATGCTGTCCAATATGCCATCTGTTGTAGCGTACCAGAATGCGCGAGGGGAATTCTGGTGGTAGACCAGGCAACAATTGAAAAACAATAAGAAAACAACATGGAGTCTTACGCGACAACCACTGACGCTGCTGGACCCTGCTGCGACCCAATTGTACATGACATCACGAGATTCAGGTTCACGCCGAGGCCAGGGTGTAACTAGAGAAACCGCAAGTTTTTTGCAGCTCTGGATCATCTCTACGGCCCACCATGCCAAAAGTTGGTCTGCACGGTAAGACCATACGAACAAGTATCAGGACATTAGGAACAGAACTAGATTTAGTTTGGTACTCAGTTTGATAACATATTCAGCTTCCCCGATACTCAAATTTTTTAGCTCAGTGACGGATCCTTCAGGTTTTATACTTACAATTTACTATACCCGCTGTAGATTACAATGCGTGTTGTACATTCAGCAAGGTCAACTGAATCTGTTATCAACAAACAAACTCTAGTTCTTGCCAATAAAAATTTAGCATTGGATTCCAATCAAGGACGTATATCCCGGGGTCCAAATGTTTTACTTTCAAATGGAAACTTTAGGTGATATCAAATTTTGTCCACTTTATAAACTTAAATATTATACTGCGTAGTTTAGTTTCCAGGGTTATTTATAGAGAAAAATTATATGTAATCATATATTTGACTATCTTTATCTGAATACTAGTCAATATATATGTTTCTCAATGTGATGATTTGATAGCTATCTTTATGTTACCCACTTGTTTCATCCGTTTTTCGGGGATTCACTTCATTTTTTATTTTTATGTGTGCATTCTTCATGTATAAGAAGAGCGACTTTGTTTGTATGTAGGTAGACTTCCAAAATTCGAGTGAATATATCGGGATTGAGTTTTTCTATGTTTCTTTATAAAGAAGAAAGTTTTTAAGGCTGCCAAATTTCTGTTAAATTAAAGTCTAGAAGCTTTGTTAACATTGAATCAACAAAGTCCTTATATAATCATTACATAATCATTCTCTTCTCATAACCAAAAGCTTCATGGTTATAGCTGATGCTCAGTTTTTGAAATTTCTGAAATTTCAGCTTGAGTAAGTAAAAACGTATCCGATTTGTACTTGTATATATTTTTTGAGGGCTACACAAAGATGAGGTAGTTGGTAAAGTAACTTACGATCAAACCCAACCTCTTGTACTTTATAAAGTTCAATAATAATATTTTTGTATTTGCATCTTCATATGTGAAAAATACACTCTAAATAGTATATGTCATCTTCTTCACACATAAATTCAATAGATAATTTTTTTATTACTTGTATACTATCAATCATTGCTATATGTGTTGTTTCATTATGATAGACACATAATCATATATAACAAAATTATAAATCATTTATTTAAATGCTAGTAAAAGATGAAGATGTCATCTTTTTTATACTTTTCATTCAATATGACATTGAATATGATTCAAGATCAATCATATTCACTTAGTGAAAAAAATATTCACATTTATAAATATACTAAAGTGAAATCCAAAGTTGATGATACTCTTTCAACCAATATGATCAAAACCTTGATTCAAGAAATAAAATCTTCTCAAAAATGAACTATATTTCTATGCAATTCATCAAAAAATGTTAATGATATACGAATTTTTTTGCTTTTCAACATAATTTTTTTATTATAATTATGTTTCATAACTTTTTAAAATCAGATTGTTTAATTTTTATGATTATCACCAATCTTTTAAAAATTAATGAATTGAAATTTGATGAATTCAAACGTAAGTTTATGAAAATAAAACTCATATCTAATATTAGAAAGTGATTTAATTTTTGTGTAACATAGATTCAAAAAAGAAATTTTTGGAAAAATTGAGCTATTAATTTAAAGTTTTTGAGGTAAAAATAGTTTACAAGATTGTGTTTAGAATATACAAGTTAACTTACTTATTTATATATGCTTGACAACATGTGTGGTAAGTTCAATTATTCTAAATTTATAAGTGATATATGAGATATAAGTAAGAAGTATTTATTGCTTCCAGGAAATAATGGATTTATTTCTGATATTGATAAGGTTGATTTAGATTTTTTTGAATATTGTACTATGATTATCATCATAAGAAAGTTTTTGATGTTACAATTTATACTTTTAAGAATTACTTTGATATGTATATGATAACATTTTCAAAAAAAAAATTAAAACTTCAATTTATGTGAAATTCACTTTATATGATTTATTGATCATCATTTTAAATTTGTGTGTAATTATTTTTTTCAAAAAAATTTGAGGTTCTTAATATTTTTTGTGAGTTAGAAAGCTCAAATTGAAAATCATATTGAACACAAGATGAAATATTATCCCATATTGTGTAGAATATGATTCTATTTATATAATATCAATAAAAGTGTCTATGTACTAATAATGACTGATTATATTTTATAGAGTTAATAAATTTATGTAAAAACAACTATTTGTCATCTCGTCACGGTTTAAAATCTAAAAAAAAAATCATTTTTCAAAAGTCTCAATCAAACAGTGTTGGAAATGATGCATAGTATGCTAAGTTGTAACATTCTTTAATTAATTAAAACTAAAGTAGAGTTTAATCTAAATGTTGACATAAATATTTTAGCATGCAATTATCATAATTGTCACTTTAACGATCCGCGCGTTTGGTAGGTAGAGAATAGGTGTGTTAGTTAAAAACGTCACGTCAACGATCTGTGTGCTTGTTATGGATTTCTGCCATGTCATCTATCCACTAGAAGTGATATGGATGGTGGTGATAAGATCTTATTTTCTTATACTGGTTAGTTAGAGTTATATATGGGAGAGTAGATCCATTGTTGATATATCTTATCTTCAGAGCATATGTTTTTATCTTTGAGTGAACTTCTCTTTAAACCCTACTGTTATAATGATATCAGAGACTTCTTACTCTTTCCTTGAGTATGAATTACCCCTCATGAAATAACAAATGAATGATGATACAGAGCAGTTTTGAGTGTGTATAGAGTATGACAAAGTTCATTGATCTGCATGTAGCGAGAGGTGGAAAAGGAAAAATTGTGATTTTGCAGATATAGACAGACTTGACAAGAATCCAGTACTTATCTGATCAATTCCTAATGTATTCAATATTCAATTTCAGTGCATGGAGAAACATCATTTTTGGATGTACTTTGTGACTTGTTGGAGTGAAGAGTTTATGACTAGAGTGATGGAATCGAGAGTGCCAATGATTATCCAATAGTTAGTTATGGAGAGACTTGGAATTATACCATATACATTATGTACTGAATGTTTCATGAATTTGAATCTCGAACCATCCGTAACGTTTCAGTTCAACATATATGTAGAGAATAGAACAATATACAGACAAAAAAGATTGTGGAGAGATTTTTTTGTGAAAAATTATACGGAAAAGTACTATAGATTTGTAATAAAATCATCTATATCTTTTGTTTCTACTTTTTTGAGACTTCAGATAGTGATCATATTCATTTTGTATTAGAGTGAGTTGTGAAAGCATTGGGACATCAATCGATATGGGTGAGATTCTCAACGCAATCATGACTGAGATGAATAAGTTGAGAAAAACGATAGTATATGAATATATCAAACAGCAAACCATGGAAAATAAAATCTTCGCATTGAAAGAAGAGAAAGTAACTAGAGTAAGAGTTGGAGAAATAGAAGTTGAACCTTAAGTTCAAGCTTACCAAATTCGTCCAAAACCAATTCTTATTGATGCAAAAGAGTTAAATAGTAAATGTCTTCAAATGATTTAAAATCAAGCAAATCTTGTTTCTAATAAAAAAATACAATAAGGTAGAAATTTACAAAAGAAATAAAACCATGGGAATGCTAGAGTGATGGATAATGAACATGAATATTCATTTTTCACATTTTCATATTTCTAGTTATGTTACATAAATGTTCATGAGATGTTATGTTACGCATAAATTTTTCACATGATATTTATCATAGGAGAGAGCTTTCAAAACGGGATGTTACCATTTCATGGAATAGAATGCAAAAAATACTTCGGCAAAATTTTCAAGCGGTGTATTTTTAATCCAATGCGGCTAACGCTCTTCAAAGTATGACGAGTCATAGATAGTAGAATTGAATTCACACGAGGATCATTAGCACCACTTTTGATGATGTGTTTTTTTGCAGTCTAGTGCAGTTTGCGTTGTCGCTGTCAATAATATTTCATTCTTTAAATTTGGTGGTATGTTCTTGCTGAAACTTGAGATCATAATCAGATCTAAAGTTTAATTAAGTCCAATACCTCCATGTTGGAGTAATCTAGCTAATTATGTGATGGTTGACCTGATGTGACTCTACTAAAAGTGTGTTTTTGACCTTGCTCAAGAAATAACCGGTACTGGTCATAGTTGATTTACTACAAGCTTGTCTAGATGATGGCAAACCATTTCGATCTTAGAATGCTTGGATGTGTTTTGAGCATGCTAGTCAAATGATGAGATGCCACAAACTGATCTATGTAGTGAAAACATCAAACTTGATACCTTGAGTGTACTTTAGCATGCAAGACAGTTAGCGACAAGTTGATGATATAAACAAACTGGATTCGATGGAGCAAAAGTAGGGTGCAATTGCATAAAATTTTCCAACACAGTTAATTGCTGGAATTTTACAAGTATTTCTACCTCGTACAAAAATCTGTTGCATCGAAGTATTCTCATTCAATTCTCAGCAATATCGTGCTGTGCTGCCGTTTTCTAATACTGTGTTCATAACTATTGAACAAGTAGAACCTCATGACCTGCATTTAGTGGCAACCAGGTAATGATCAAGGTAATCTGGTAGCAGTTGATTGACTGCGTGCATTTTATTCCAGCTACAGAAAGTCTGCAAGAAGTTGAGAATAGAAGAGGTCTTTTGGCTGTATATGGAAAGTGGGTGATATTTCGATCATATGGAAATTGGGATGGCCAGCCTTGTAAACCAGTTGCTAGTCGACCTATGAACGGCTGAGTACAATTGGAACGAACACAGAATTCCATCCAGGAACTCCAGGACAAGTCGAACGTGGGCCTCAAGTCTCATGCCATGGGATTCTACAGAGAGGTCGGACTTTCGTACTATGTTCGCAACTCATCATTGAAGTGACAAACAAGTCAGTTACTGTGGCTGCAGCTATCGAAACTCGGAGGCCTGCCCTACCGAACAAGCTCGGAACACAACGAGATGCAACAAGATTCCAGTCTACCGTGAGTCGCTTGTTCTAGAATATTATACTCCATGCACAAGTGCAATCAGGTCAAAATCTCAAGTCAATAGATCTGGGGAGCTTCACAGGGTCAAACGTATGTTCAGTCCCTCAAATACAGATTCTATCAATCATAGCGGTGCAAGATGAGATATTGTCGATGGTTCGAAGAAGATAGTCATTAAAATGGTACAGAAGAATCTAGTCTACTGACGTTGAAAAAAGATCAATGATACTATTAATGTGCAGAAGAGATGCTTCGTACGAAAACCTGCAGTTTAGGCATCAGACGATGATTGTTTCAAAAATCTCTTATAATTTGACGATCATCAGAGTCGGTTTGAGACAGCCTGGATTGAGTTGATGTATCCGATCCAGATTCCTAAAATTTGTAAAA